GAAGAAGGCCAATATGAATTACAAAAAAAAAATCAGTTATAGAAATATCAGTGTGGTGCCGTGACAAGGTACTGGATTTAATGTCAATGGATCTAAGGTCAAATAATGATCCTGCCATTTACTATGAATGTAGCCTTGGGCTGCAAGTCATTGAACCTCTGGATTTCAGCTTCCTGATATGTAGAAGGAGGGTAAATCCAGCATTTACCATAGTACTTGGTACATATTATCGTTTAGTCTTTCTTCAGTTGTGTCCAAATCCTTATGATCCCATCTGGGGTTTTCTTGGCAAAGATATTGGAGTAGTTTGCCATTTTCTTCTCCAATTCATTTGATAGATGACGAAATTGAGGCAAACATGGTTAAGTGACTTGCCCAGGGTAACACAGCTACTAAGTGTCTGAGGATGGAGTTGAACTCACATCTTCCTGACTTCAGGCTCAATGTTCTGTCCACTGTGCCACCTTGCTGTCCCTCTTAATGAATGCTTGTTAACTGACTGATTTAAAGTATATAAAAATGTTAATATTTTTAAGCAAACTCAGTGATGCAAATTAAAGTATTGCCATATAGAGGATCTTTTTGCACACACACACATACACACACACACACGCACACACACACACACACCCCTATCTGCCACTAAAGTCTTAGGGCAATTTTTAACGCCTGCACTAAGACTTTTGGGACATCTCGTATATTAGTCCTGTGTATTGGCTTGGTTTATCAGGTTGTTAAGCATTGTTTTCATATGCAAATATGTGGAGCTATATAGAAATACAAACCTATAATATATGAATGTGCATCTCATATCTTTATATGTAGATATTCATATATATCTATGTATGTCCATATCCATATCTATCAATCTACTTATCTATTTGATATAAGCTTCATTTTTTTTTGCCTTTTTTTGATGAGGCAATAGGGTTAAGTGACTTTCCCAGGGTCACACAGCTAGTAAATGTCATGTGTCTGAGGCCGGATTTGAACTCAGTTCCTCCTGTCTCCAGGGCCAGAGCTCTATCTACTGTACCACCTAGCTGCCCCTAAGCTTCATTTTTGTTCCTACTGAACTGGTTTTAAGACCTGAGGTCAAGTCCCACATCTGATATATACTGGCTCTATTTGATCATGGGCAAATTCTTTATCCTGAGTCTCAGTGTCCTCATCAATTAAACAGAGATAATAAGATACCCCCTACCTAGAAGTATTGTCCTGGAGATCACCAAGGGTAATAATGTATATGAAACACATTGGAATGAAACCATGTTATGCCCCAAACATTTATATATTACTATATTTATATATTACTTCATTTATATATTTCTATTTTACTTCAAGATTTGCTAAGTGTTTGCATACAGTTATCTTATTGGACCTTGATCACGGTCCCTGTGAGGGCAGTATTACAGGTCTTATTATCTCCAGTGTAATGGCAATAAAAAAGAAATAAACAAAACAGAAAAAAAAAAGGTTTAGAGTTTAGGAGATTTGACCATTGTGATGTAGCTAATGTGTCACAGGTAGGATTTGAGCCTAAGTCTTCCTCCTAGGCAACTAGGTGGTACAATGGATAGAGCACTGGGCCTGGAGTCAGGAGAACCTGGATCCAAATCCCACCTCAGATAATAACTAGCTGAATGGCCCTGGGCAAGTCACTTAGTTCTGTTTGCCTTAGTTCCTCATTTGTAAAATGAGCTTGAGAAGGAAATGGCAAGACACTACAGTATCTTTGCCAAGAAAATCCCAAATGGGGCCATGAAAAGTCAGACATGACTGAAATAACTCAACAAATTCCTCCTATATTCTATCCCTTCTCCTGTTATAGAAATCTGGGCTACAATATTGTTGACATTACTCTAAGTGAGCTGGACTTTTCTCACCTATAAAATGGTGATAAGAATGCCTTCCTATTGTATAAGGCTGTTGAAAGGATAAAATGAGATAATGAATGAGAAAGCACTTTGCACCTGTACAGTGCTATATACATGGAACTTATGGCTATATATTATTACTTAGAATAATCATTTGCATAGTAAATTATTATTTTTCATAGATAGTGTGGAGGTAAACTTTAGTCCTTACTGAATTAGCGCAAATTCCAAAGTAGTGGAGTTCAAATTAATGAGATTTTATTTTAGTAAAAAACCGAAATATATTTGCATTTATGAAGGTGTCCTTCAGCATAAGCTTCTTTGTAGCAGTATACCAGATGTGCTCTGGGTAGTTTGAGCTTATTAGTGTAAAACTTTCTCCCGATTATCCCTGCATCTGTCCATATAGAAATCCTCTGTAGCCCTACTGTTACTGATTAAAATTAAATAAAAAGAAACATTATATATATATATGTACATATATATATGTACATATATGTATATATATATACACACATATATGTGTGTGTGTGTATATATACATATATATACATATATGTGTGTGTGTGTATATATATATATATGATTTGTTGTCTATATATAGGCTAGATAAAGTCATAAGCATCAATACCCTTTATGGCTCTAGTCTCCTGCCTAGGAGACCTTAATCATTGGTGTATGAGGGAGCTAAAGCTTACTTTCTACACTGTTCGATGAAAAGAGTGTATTTGGTGTCAGCAGTCCTGGGTTTAAATCCTGAGTCTGCCACTTACTTGGGCAAGACATTTAGTTTGGTATCACTTGGGCAAGTCATGGCTAGTATGCTTAGCGTGATGTAGTAGAAAGAATGGATTGGAAGACAGAGGACTTGAGTTCAGATCCTGACTGTCATGTATTCCTAGTTTTCTTGCCTTGGGCAAATAACTTAACCTGGCTAGGATTTATTTTCATAATCTGTAAAATGAATTGCTAAGACCAGATGACTTTTTCTTCTAATTATACCTCTCTGATCAATGATACTCAAGGGAGTTGGTGTCTTTGAAGCTCTCTGTGTGATCCTGCTCCTATCCAGCCAGAACCCTTGCTCCATTCCATCCAATCAAACCCTCAAATGGTTTGGGCTATTAAAGCTTCTCCCATTACCACCCTTCATATCAGAACCATAATCTACAGAGCCCACCTCAACCAGCACCTTCCATCCTCACTCTGGTAAACCTCCTAAAATGCTGACTCCATTGGGATTAAGAGATACTGCATATGGCTTCTTGCTACTGGGAATATAGATGTGCCAATAAATCCTTAGCATCCCCAATTAGGACTTGGGGTTTATTTTTCCAATGGAAAACAGTGTTTCAAAGGATTCTTAGATTGTGAAGTAGGACTAGGGGCTTTTGGCTCTATTATGTATCAAATAGTCTTTTCTGGATTGGCATGGGACCTAAAATGCTACTTAGAATACTGTTTCTGTGAAAAAAAATGCAAACTCCAAAACCATAAATATACAGAGAGACAGATAGATGAATAAACAAAAAAGAAGAAAGAAGAAGAGAAGGAAGGAAGGAAGGAAGGAAGGAAGGAAGGAAGGAAGGAAGGAAGGAACAAAGGAAGTAATGATTTTTGTAACAAAGTTTTTGGTAAACTGGGAACTGCTTGTATGGAGGGATTTCATCTGAACTCTTCACAATTTTCTCTGCTCAAGGAAAACAAAAGATTTTGCCTCTTTTTGTATGCAATCTGTAGGAGCATATCACCTTTTGTACTGGTTAAATTAGGTCTATGGCATGCAGTGTAGTGGTTATAGGAAGATCCTTGGGGCAAGGCCAGTGTCAGTAAGATAAACAACTGTTCAAAGTCTGTGTTCTCTGGGGACTTGGGTATGGATCTCTGAACTCATTTCACTTTTTGTGAAAATCCTCAGCTGACACATCCCTATCATCTTGTCCAGCACTAACAGTGATGGAGGTGACTCAGTTTGATGCCCTTAGCACAGGGAGTATAGAAGAAGAGGAAGATGTGAATCTCACTTCCATTAATTTAGGGGCTCGTCATTTGTAGGCTGATTGTAAGCCTGTAAATGACATTACTGTGAAGTTCGGCATATCTTTTACATGTACATTACAGAAAGAGCTGGGGAAACAAACAGCTTATGCAGTAACAGAAATGTCTTGCTTCAAAAAAAAAATCCCTAATATCATCACTTCCTGAATGGTAGCTGAGTATTTCCTGGAGAGTTAAGTTGATGGTAAGGATCAGGGATCAGCTGCTGGGGCTGGCATTTGGAGAAGACAAACCAAGCATTCACACCACAGACCACTCAATACCAGCATTGTCTCATGTCCATCTTTCAGAAGCCCAGAGAAAGTGGGGAGAAAAGAAAGGAAGAAGAGAAAATAAACCTTTTTATCTTGGGAAGGAAAGTGTAGGAGAGAAAGAGCAAGATGTGAATTTGAAAAGACAGTAGCCAAGAATGTTATTCTCTAAATCAACTTTGGCTTTTGATTTGGGTCATTGCTACCAAGTTCTTTTCCCAGTCTCCTCCCTTTTTGCAACCATTTCTGCTTCACTTTTTCCTCTTTAACTTCTTCATTATCATTATTTTTATCCCTAGACAGTCACTGGGTATTTTCTATTTTTCCCTTTCCCTATCTGGCATCTCTACTACCTTCAATGTCTATGCCTTTCTCTCTTCTAGTCTTTCCTCCTTCCCTTTTCTCCCTCGATCTCCCTTCTTTTCCTTTCCTCCTCTTCTCAGCATCACATCCCTCTGCCTTACTCCCTCTTTCTTAACTCTACCTCTAAGCTCCATTCCCTCTTCTTAAGGAAATCAGCCAGGCCTCAGATGGAGCTGTTGTCGTGACAACCTAAAGGAGCATCAGGCTTTCATCAAGGCTCGCTGCTGCTGAAGGGGGCAGTTGTGAAAAGCAAGGGGCCAGCCAGAGGGAGGAGGGGGATGAGGTGGAAGGGTTGTTGAAAAACAGCACATTGAATGGGGGAGGGGAAAGAGAGGGAGAGGAGGGGGGAGAGAGGGAGATAGAGAGAGGAGGGGGGAGAAGGAGAGAGGGAGAGAGAGAGAGAGAGAGAGAGAGAGAGAGAGAGAGAGAGAGAGAGAGAGAGAGAGCAAGCTGCTGAAGCTGCTGCTGCTGCTGCTGCTGCTGCTGCTGCTGCTGCTGCTGCTGCTGATTTTTTTACACTCACAGTATAGAGCTTGGTGCTTGCTGGCCTCCCTCCGCCTAAGAAAAGTGGGTTATGAAAGGAGCTCCTCTCACAGACTGTATAGCCCTTCACTGGAATAGGAGCATTCAGCAACAGAAAGAAAAAGGAAAAGAAAAACAACAGCAACAACAAATCAATATCCTCTCTTTTTAAGGCTTTCCTTCACCTTTGCAAGTGGTTTATTTTTGCAAAAAAGCTTTTTTAAAAAAGAAATTGTATTTTTGTTCATTTGACTTTTTGTTTGTTTGTTTGCTCTGGTTTTATGAGGGGCTTGTTAATACTTAGGGGGGAAAGAAGAGAGGTGCAAGAGAGAGGAGGGGAGAGAAGAAAAGTGGAAAGGATTAGAAGCTGGAAAAGCCGGGTCTGCTTTCACTCCTCGGTAGCTGTTGATGAACGCTGTGTATTTGTAAATCGCTCTTCCCGACCGCCCTGCGCACCCGGAGAGTGCCCATCTCCCTATATATACCCTGAAAGTCAGCGTGGCCACCATGGTCGGAAGAGTTCATCCCGATCGCAAACAGTTGCCGCTGGTCCTACTGAGATTGCTTTGCCTTCTCCCCACAGGACTGCCTGTTCGCGGCGTGGATTTTACCCGAGGCACTGACAACATCACCGTGAGGCAGGGGGACACGGCCATCCTCAGGTAGGGCATTCTGGCAACTTTTCCCAGTGTTTTATATCTATATGCATATGTTACCAAGATGTGTGTGTCTGTGCATGTACGTGTTCCCCTCGAACTACAACTGCTGATGCTATACGAATCGGGGCTCTGTGTGTATTTATCTGTATTCCTGATTCTGTGATATTAAGCCATAAACTGAAAGGGGGTTCTGGTCCCAATTAAAGCTTCAGCACTGGTGGTTAAATGCTCTGTTTCCCTGATCTTACCAAGAAATGATAACTTTATGGTATGGCAAGAAAAGGAAAAAAAACTATACAGAAATCTTTTTTTTTTTTTAATTTACCAGTGCTTGGTTTTCTGAAGCCCTGGTGAGGTCTCTTAATTTAAACACTAGTGTGTGGTAAGCAGAGTTATTGAATTATGGCACTGAGATACACTTCCAATGGTTCACTATGTTAGTCTCTCCACTCATTAAATAGATGGTTGTGAATAAAGACCTGAATGTTTTGCTTTCTCACTAGTTCAAGTTGTCAGGAAGCTATTTGCCCCTATCCTGTAAACATGGGTTTTCCTTATGGGCACTGAGGGAACTAATAAAGTGTAAGAACTTTATTTATCCCTTAGTCTTCCCTGTCCCCTCGAATTTTGGTAAAAATCAGCCCGATAAGTAAGGGGAAATAAAATAACTTTCCAAATACCTACTTACTATAAGGGAAATACAGCATTAAGCCAAAAGGGCTAAGGGAGAAATAATTTTTTAATCTTGGTTAGTAAGCCTTGACCTAAAAGTCTTATTTTTATGAACTTCTATCATACTGTGAAAGAATAATTGGTGGACTGATATTTGGAGGGGAAAATCATAAGTCCTTGGTGAGTTTGACCCCTCTGAGGGGACAGAGAGAGCTGGCTCTCCAGGTGCTATTGTGTGCCAATTCACTTTTTTAGATAATCTCCTAGTTCCCTTCCCAATCTCCACTTCCTCTTTACCCAACCCCCCACAGACACCACCCATACATATATATTCCTTTCCTTTGGTATGATTCTCCCAGAATTTCTGTCAGATGCTGACAACTAAACCTTTCCTATGGGATCCTTTAAAATCTCATTTTATCCCAACAAAATGTTCCAGTGTCTATCTGTCTATCTGTCTAATATCGCTTGTTGTGGCAATAAAGAACTATATAGAATTGAAAATAAACCTCTAATCTGTGTGCAAGAAGCTGATAGTGCATAAACCCTGGGGCATCAGGGAGCCATTCCATAGCAGAGCTGCCGACAGCAGCAAAGTTTTCATGCCTTTCCTTAGAAATAAATTTGGTTGGCTTTCACAGAATGCCCTGCTTTGGGATCTCTGCTCTTGTTATAGAGGAAAGTGTGTGTGTGTGTGTGTGTGTGTGTGTGTGTGTGAGAGAGAGAGAGAAAGAGAGAGAGAGAGAGAGAGAGAGAGAGAGAGAGAAGAGAGAGAGAGAGAGAGAGAGAGAGAGATTTTCTAAGTTGGTAGAAACTAGAAGAATGAGGACATAAATTATGCCATCTTCCTTTTCTTGTGTACTGTGCTTGTGATCCTCAAAGATCCTTCCTTTCAAACAGATTCGCTCTCCCACCTCTCTGGATTTGTTAGCTGGCATGTAAGGTTTATCCACATAGAGTAACAGGATTTACAGAGTGATTCATCTGCTTGCAGAGGGGTTTAGACATGACATGGGAAATGCTTCCCAACAACAACTCACAAGAGTCCTTCCTCAGCTATTTGCTGAAATCCCCTCTTCACTAAATTATTAACCCTTCATTGTGTAACCTCTTGTTATAAGCACGTGCCCTGGAAATTCTACTTTCCAAAGAGTAAGTGACAGTTTGTTACTCAGAAGTTTGGACATGGTAGGGGAGAAAGGATCATTCTGGATTTATAGGTACCTAAAATACACATGAAGTTGGCAAATTCTTTCTCTATCATGCAACTGCACATTTAAAAAAATTCAACTGACGGTATGTATGTGCAAGAATTGTACATCTAGTGGAAATATAGGCATATATTTTTATGTAGTGCGTATGGAAGAGTTTGTCTGTGTCAGTGGAAACTCGGGCTTCTGCATCTATGAACAAGTGTGTGTCTGTGGACAGATTCAAGGAAAGGGATTTATCAAGGTAGGGTGGAGGATATCTATATAAAGCTTTTTTAAGTATGAGAGTTAAGGATATGAGTGAAAGAACAGAGGGGATATAAAGACAGATAGATGATAGATAGATAGATGGATAGACATATGATAAATTAAAAATGATAGATAGATAGAGAGAGAGAGATAGATAGATAGATATAGATAGATAGATAGATAGATAGATAGATAGATAGAAGGTAGAACCTGTACATATAAGTGAACATGTGTAGGCAAGGAGGCTCCAAGTTATTGGTAAGATTCTTGAAGACATCAAGTAGAGCTTCTGCACAAGGGGTCATTCACCTGTGAGATACCTAGGTGTTCTTTTCATTTAGTCCCCCAGACCTCATCCAAGGTACCTCAATGTTTGGTTGTACTTGCCTTGGGCAAGAGTATATTTGTGACTTGGTGAAGCTCTATCAGAAGTAACTGTGCATAGCGTTTGCTTTGTTTTCTTTGCTGGCCTTCTTCATGGTCTCTAAATGAAAGTACTAAGCTTTGTGGTTTAGTTCCCTGGCAAAGAATAGTTCTCTTGCCCTCTGTTTAAGAGTAACAGCCTGGGAAGGACACACTTCCACTTTCTCTGTGAAATTTTACTGTTAGTGTAAGCCTTCAGGGTACCAGAAGAAGGAGAAACTGATTCATCAGAAGCCATGGCTGCTGATTGGTTCTACTTGAGTGAAAGGAGCTAAAAAAAAATTCATTTCAAAAGACTCTATGACCCTGAATATTCTTAGGTAAGAGAAAGAGATGGATGATGGGAATTATTTTTTTAATTCTTGTGGTCCAATGGCAGGTATCTGGCTGTCCCTCAAACTTTCAATTTTATCTCTTTATCTCTTTATACCAGTTTTTCTTTGGAGAATTACTCGTCAGTGCAGTATATTATGACCCTGAGTGTAAACATATATTTCAATAAGCTTACTTACCTCTTTTCTGATTCTTGGCTGTATATATAATCTTTTTGTGGGAATGATGAGGAAATTGTGGAGCCATTAGTGAAAAGAATGAAGGGAGACAGGTAGTATCAACATCTCCTGAGGCACAAAGTACCAACTTCAAAAAGATCCCCCCCTCAAGAACTTCATGAGAAATTAAAAGAAATCCCAGCCCCATCTTGAGTCCCAAGAGCAAAATAACTCATGCGTCCCCACTCAAACACATACAAACACACACTGTGTGTCTCCTCTTGAGTAATTAATGCATTCAGCTTTGCTAATATCATTTACTAAGAGAGGTGTTTATGATCGTTTGTCCAGGTTCTAACACTGATTCTTTAAACCATCTCCCTGATCTCCTTTGATGCCTTCCATATACACTCAACTTTCTTGTCTTGCAGTAGGTGCCAAATCAACAGGTAAATGAAAAGAAGTCACTATAACTTGAGCTTTTTAAAAAAAGAAAAAAAACAAACACAAATCCCTGCTGAAAGTATAATTATCAGCAGCAGCATCTTTGTAGAGCGTGATGAGTAACACATTGACGTCAAATACATGATTCTAGGCAGAGTATATCAGTGTAGCCTTGTTAAAAATGCAAATTCATTGTTATAAATTAATGCAAGTCCAATAATCCACACATATATTGGATGTGCAATATAAGTAGTTGTATATTTAAAACAAAACAATAGATTAGCAAAATAGTTGACATTCTGAATTATTTAAATTAGTCACTAGAAGTTATTTTTTTCTCACAGAAAATTTCCCCTTTTGTATTATTATAAATTATTATCATATTATCATATGTTGATTATCATGATAGTATGGTCATATTGCTATAATTTATATTACTGGATGTGAGCATGGTATTATTTATTCCCAAATAACTATGTATATAAGTATAAGTAAGCTACTTCATTTGGAACCTAGGAATACAAATTGTTGAACTTATTAGGCTTTTTTTAAAGATTTTAAATACTGTGTTGTATTATCAACCAATTCCTTTTTGCATTCACTTTCCTTATCAATTTTTTAATAAAGGAAGTGAAGGGTCAGAGAAGAATTCATTTATGTGAGAGTAAAATGTAAAGATTTCATGCAGATTTAAAAAAGAAATGCATCAATTTCCCTTCTTTAAGACATCTGGAACTCCTACATGCACTAAAGACGTGTCAGATTGGAGGAAACACACAGACAAATTGACTAAACAGTATGTGATTTTTCTAACACCTATAATTGTATTCTTTGAAAACAAAGTGTCTATATTAATACCAAAGACATGGTTTGCCTAAAGGGTAAATTTGTGCAACTTGGAAATTCCATAACAAAACATTATTGTCCAACCCTCACAGCTTATAAAGTAGTCACAAAACTAGCTGGCTCTGTGGCCTTGGGCAAGCCATTTTTGTATTCTAAACCAACATTTTTCTTTTCATCTATATTATGGTTTGAGGAAGATAATCTCAAAGGAAGGTCCTTTCCCACGATGCATCAATGATGCTATGGTATTGTTAATTAATACGAATGTAAGTAAAGATGTACGTATTATATCTGCATGTGTGTATGTATGTGATATATATGTATGTGTACATATGTATATGTGTAAATATATATTCAATTTGGTCATCATTAGGCTGAAATTAAGCAAAGTAAATTTTGTAAATGTTATTAAATTCTTGGAAAAATTCTGAAACAAATTGTTAAATGACATTTTGATAGCTCACTACAGTTATAACAGAATATGTGATTAATGTGTATTCAATAAACTATTCATTATCATTAAAACTAAATATATAGCATGATTTATACTTAGATGGCATCTTTATGGAATTTTTAGCAACTTAAAACAATTCTGGCTCATTCTCTGATAAGTAATATAGCTCATTGCATAAGTTAAATTATCCTAGGTTATTGGCTCTTGAAATCA